AAAGTCATAGCTCCAATAAATGAAAAGTTATGGTCAAGGTTAAAGTTTTTGCGGACAAACAGACCGCCAAATAGACATACATACGGACACTATAAAACTATGTACCCCCGAATCTTCGAATACGGGAACATAGAAAGAAATGGTCTTTAATTAACTTTTCATATTATGATACAGTATAAAGAAGACGTTACAAAAATGAAAATATTTGTTTGATTTTCATATTAAATTCTCTGAAAAAATATACTCAGAACTGAGTAAAGGGGTGGAGTTACAAGAATTAAGAAATGTAGTGAATACTGTGTGCTAAATCAAAAGGTTACGTCTACATGTATAGTTTTTGCATTAAAATGTGTATTTTACACTAGCCCATATATAGCTTTATAGAGCATATTTTTAGGTGTTACACCTACCCCACCCACTTATTTAGGAAGAAGTCGATTATCAACAAAAAGCAACAAAAAACTACCCTACCTTTATTTTTCTATAAGGAGGGAAAAAATCTTAAAAAATCAACAAATTCTACTATTTTTCAACTGTTACTTTTACTTTCTATACCCCTACAAACATTTAAAGTATGCTTTAATCATGGCGAAGTAAATTATGACATGATAGTCTTGTGTGAAGGCTTAACTTCATTTCAATATTTTATCTAGAGCCTCTTTCAGTACCATTGAAAGGTATAGAGTTTTATTTATATTTTTACGTGCTAAGAAGAACAAATATAAAATCTATTCGAACAAATACATTAATTACTCGAAGGAAGAACAATTATAATATACAGCATATTTCCCTTTCACTTTTCCCATTATAAATCTTGTATCACTTTAAAGGGGGTCATTTTTCAATGGGGGTCAATTTTTTATAGGACTAACATATAAAATTATGACCCCTAGGACTCTTTTCTACAAAAAATGATTTTTTTTCTATGGGTGGGGGTCATTTCTTGTCATTGAAAAATGACCCCCCGGTGATTATTCGATGGGAGTCATTATTCGTCTTTACACCGGCGGCTAGAAATTTAGATCTTTAGTCGGCTCTTCGGACCATAGCTGCAGATCTGTAGCGTTATGGTTTTATATATTTCTCTTTGACGTTATGGTCAAAGACAAATATATAAAACCATAACGCTACAGATCTGCAGCTATTCAGGCCATTGAGCAAAGAGGGATCTTTTCGTGCCAACAACTATTGTGACTATGGACCTAGGTGTACATGTATATGGTCTCATCCGATGGACCATTAAATCTTTGTTATTTCTCAAAAAGGGCAAAATTATACCCCTGTCAAAATAATTATCCAGTTTTATCTGAGTTGTACACCGAATTTGAAAGATCGATAAGAAATGAAACATTCCAAATTAATTAATTTTTAGCATTTTCATCTTATTTTTTTTAAAAAAAAAGGGACAAGAAGGTCATGTTATTTTGATAATAAGTAAGAAGGTTCCTACTTTCATCTTATGTAGAAGAATAAATAAATCTAAAAGGTCTGTAAAGTAATTTTGAGAAGTAAACATTTTCAATGACAGTTTTATCACTGATATATTCATTTTTATTACAGTACTCCAAACCTAGAGATAATACCTCTTATTCTGTGTAGGGGTTTGAAGCTTTTTGATTATCCACTTTCATATGATAACATAAATCAAAATTGAGACTACTTTAAACCTGACCCATTTTATATTTAATGACATGATTTGCAATGGTATACATTAAAGTGATGTCAAGAAAGAAGATGGGAGCATTTGGCGTGTGATCTGCAGGAATCATTTGTACGAAACATTTATGGTTTAAATGTCCATGATTTGGTTGACTGAACATAGCTGGTCAGATTTTACAAACACGTCCATAGGTTTTTTTTATATTATTTAGTTTGAAAGTGTGAAATTGTAAGATTTTTGTCCGTTTTTCCTAAGGGGTACTATAACATAGTAATGTTTCACAAAAAATAAACACCTAAAATATTTAATGCATATATAGATGCATGATACGTGTACATGTACATTTATAGAAGATTAGAATAAAATTATTGATTTCGCTCGAGAACCAAACTTAACTAAAATTTATCTAATTCAAAATTTTAATGCATCAGTACATAAAACGAAAGGGACAAAATAAATGGTTGTTTGCATGAAAAAAAAAATTAACGCCCCATGCCAGGTTCGAACCAAAAACTTTTCTATTCCAGTGCAGTGAACAGCTATCCCAACTTACTGAGCTATCACCGCTACACATACATTGAGTTTAAAAGGACAAAAAAGCACTACATTCACACATTTGGATTTTTTGGGGAAAAGTTCGTTTTTCGTGGTCTCTGGGTCTTCTCTCCATTTTTTTAAACAAGAGGTCCATGGACCACATCGCTCACCTGGGCATGCTTCCATATAAATATGATCAATTATGGCTTTGTTATTCTTGAGAAGAAGATTTTTAAAGAATTTTCCTATATATTTTGATGTAAAACTTTGGTCGGCAATTGTGGCCCTGCCCTACCCCTGGGGGTCATGATTTGAAAAAAACTTGAACCTACACTATCTGATGATGCTTCCATATAAATATGATCAATTATGGTTTTGTTATTCTTGAGAAGATTTTTAAAGAATTTTCCAATATATTTCCATGTAAAACCTTGGTCGGCTATTGTGGCCCCGCCCTACTCCCCGGGGTCATGATTTGAACTAACTTGAATCTGCACTACCTGAGGATGCTTCCATATAAATATGATCAATTATGGCTTTGTTACTCTTGAGAAGAAGATTTTTAAAGAATTTTCCTATATATTTCTATGTAAAACTTTGGTTGGCCATTGTGGCCCCGCCCTACCCCCCGGGATCATGTTTTAAACAAAATTGAATCTACACTACCTGAGGATGCTTCCATATAAATATGATCAATTATGGCTTTGTTATTCTTGAGAAGAAGATTTTTAAAGAATTTTCCTATATATTTCTATGTAAAACTTTGGTCGGCCATTGTGGCCCCGCCCTATCCCCGGGGGTCATGATTTGAACAAACTTGAATCTACACTACCTGAGGATGTTTCCCCATAAGTTTCATCTTTCCTGGCACAGTGGTTCTTGAGAAGAAGATTTTTAAAATATGCCCCCAAATTTTCATTAATTCCCAATTATCTCCCCTTGAATGGGGGCGCCCTTCATTTGAACAAACTTGAATCCCCTTCACCCAAGGATACTTTGGGGCAAGTTTGGTTGAAATTGGCCCAGCGGTTCTTGAGAAGAAGTCGAAAATGTGAAAAGTTTACAGACAGATGGACAACCGGACGCCGGACAAAATGTGATCAGAAAAGCTTCGGCTCAGGTGAGCTAAAAGGTGTATTCGTTTCTTTGAATTAAAATACACACAAATAACGTTTCAAAATCATGAAGAGAAGATCCAGATATAGAAAATTTTTTAGAATAACGTGTTTAAAAATGTACACTTTTGTACCAAATCTCTAGTATGGCCAATTTTCAACTTATTTTTTAGCAAATCAAAGCTCGATTTCGGAAAAATATTTTCCTTTCCTGTTGGACAGGAACCCCATAAATAAAAAAATGTTAAAATTTCATGTGACATGTTGATAAAATTTTCACTTTTCAATTACGCCCAGATTCGTGCCGAATGCCAATCAAAAGCGCCCTCGTTCTTTAATCATATAATATTTTTACGATGCTGAATACATACTTCCTATAAAAGATATAAAATGAGTTTTTATCTGATCGAATGGCCCATTGTTCTGAGACCCTGAATCTGCCTCTGCAATTCTCAGAGATCCGTATTTTATGCTCAATTGACATATCTGTATTATTTCGAGAATTTTTTTTTATAGCTCGATCACTTTTTCATAATGCCGGTAGTAAATCGCAAAAAAATTAATTTTATGGAATATGACATTTATTTAGGATTATTCATAGCTGATTCTGTTTCTAAATTTAAAGAGTCAAACTCTGTTTTCCCAAAGCATCTGCGAAGGAAAAGACAAAACCTACGAAAGGAAGTGGTTACATGAGTATTTTATGTTTCAACATTGTTTTGGGACATTTTATAATTTTAAGATATTGCTGAATTTCAAGCATATCTTTGAAAGCAGGGTAATAATTACATGTATATATGTCTTTTGTATATTAACACTCATGCAATTGTAATGCTGCGAGGTAGCAGTCTAGATGTCTAAATTTTTCATGTCGCCATAGGTTTGTGTACTAGTATATGTACATCCTATATAAAAACTGGAATTATACAAAATAAACTTAATGCATACTTTAAATTGACAATAACTTTCTCGTCTTGTGGATACTTATAGATACTAAATCATTCTAATATACAAAATAATTATTCATTTTCAGACAAGGATATATTGTTTGAATGCAAAACAGTTTGACAACAATTTGTTTAATCATAGAATTTTGACCCTATGTTATTTCTTCATTTTCAGCACTGTGTGAGCACATTACATCCAAATGCCATGGTAACAACTACATGAATTCTATATGTGCCAACCAATCAGATGTTATTGCCATCAAACAACTACAGTATGGAGCAAAATCAAATGGCAAAAAGTGTCCCCAGAATGAGCAGCATAACAATAATACGTGTTGTTCGCATGAAGTTGGCGACTGTTTGGAAGATGTGACTGATTATGCCAATAAATATTTATATTTTTCTCGATTGTCTGGACTAAATGGCATTTCACAAAATACAGCCACACCCTGGATCCGAATGAATTGTGGAAATCGCACTTTCTCGGACTATGTACAGGTCGTGTTTGATTGTATTAAAGGTATTTGTCTGATATAAAAATTTATTTTATTTATTTCAACTTAATATTACCTTCAAGCAATCGAGTTTCACCATGAAAAAATCCATTCTTTTAATCTGTAAAACAATTCCTGTGAATATCATGTAGAAAATAATCCAAATTTACAGAATGATATCATACGTTCAGCGCATATATACCTTCCAAGGTTATTTTGATAGCATTGTGTTTTCTTTTTCAGAAACAGAAATCAAGAACTTTTGTGACTATCAGAAAATGACCGCAACAAATAAAGGTCTGTACCTCCATAGGGAACGATATTTTAACATTAAAAATACTTGTGAGTGCATGATCAAATCATCAGAAAGATCTACAATCAACGTATTTGCCGTTGACGTGAGATTGCAGCCAAATTACCCTGTTAATGAAAACCTCACTGGGGACTGTACAAATGCAACAAATATGCTGACAATTAGTGATAACAACAATATGACAAGCATTGAGTGTGAAAATGACACCATTTATGGAGAACTGGAAAAACTATATTCTTCATCCGAAAACTCTATTAATATATCATACTCAGAAGAAGGAAAAGAGCCACAAAATGTTTGGATATTTGTTAATGGTAAAGTTGACATACTTTGCAATTGTCTTATTTTTTAGTTAGACCATCCTCATTTCTTTCTTTTTAAATGTAATCTGCGTTTATATTGCTGATATTTTTATTAAATATATCCTTCTTACTGAGTTGTTAACTAAAGATTTTTTTTGAAATTTTGAAAAGAATACATTCTTTATTTAGCCAGCAAAGGAGATTTTGAAATCGAATGTAATCCACGACTCTCCACTACAACTTCAACAACAACATCAACAACAACAGGCACAACCAAAAATTCAAATCCACTCGTGACGTCACCTGGCAATCAAGGAAATAGTCACAAAAATAAAACTACACAACCATCGGGACGAAAGACAAAATCTCCAGGTTATAGCAATCCTCAATAAGCAATATTAGTAACATATCATTACGCATGAAAAATATGGAGATATCGAACAATATTCCAGATCAAAAGTCCATCAAACAATACAAAACAGGAGCAGAGCAAACACGAATGCATGTATTTTGTTTTTTATACTGATTCTGTATTTATCATATATAAAACTAAGTTTGAATTAGTTGGGTTTGTTAAACGTTTGCTTGTCTTCTACTAATTCTTCATTTGTCAAAATTCTGTGTCTAATTTTTAAAGTCGGTGAATTTAGATATATTTAACGTTTAGCAACTGCACATAAGTCAAACAATTTTTTTCAGAAGTAAATTATACCACATCTAGCAATTTAAGATATAGTAACTTTATATTAATCCAAACACTTCTTTCTTTGACTTATTTTCAGGGTCTAAAAATTCAGACTCTAATGTCATCGAAACTGGACCCTCGGCCAGAGGTTAGATTCCTCTTTTGAAATTATATTTGCTAAATTTGAAAGAATTGTGAATTAAACGAACGCAGCTTAATAATTTAATGCTGTTACTTGAAATACATTTACTTGTACGTGTTTTAAATTTGTTCACTTTATGGGTTTTTTTCTTTACAGTAAGAGAGAGAGCCATACAAAATACGGCAATATACTGCGTCATAGGGGCGGCTGCTATAGCGACCATATTGATAATCACGGCCGGGTTTTTCATTCGTAGGAACAGAAAGTTAGTATGTCAACCACTATATATAATATGTAATGCAATTAGTACATAAGGAAATTAATTACTTAAATCATTGGTTTGAAAATACAAATCTGATCTGTTGAATTACAAATCTTAGGATAAAATACTCAGTATCCACTTTCAACAAATGCGATGTACATTGTGAATTTTTTTAAATTATTAATTGGAAATGTGTATTCAACTCAGCAATACAAAATGTCAATATTATTACTTGTTTTCATTTTTAAATTTCCCGCCTTTTAGGTCAGCAGAGCAACAAAGAAAATATAAAAAGGTGCACGAAGCAAGACTCAGCCAATCCGACTCCTCCATTTTCACACTGGAAAAATTACCAAGGGAAACCCCAACAAACTTTTCTGAAAGTTCAGAGGACCATTTGTATTGACAAATCCCTTGATGGGAAGCCATTTGTAACATTTTATGACAATGTTCATTGAAATATTTATTATATTTAAAATATTAATATTTTAAATATTATAGAAAGGCTCTTTGTAATTATCAATTTTTACATTACATACATTAATATTAGAAGACAAGCCTCTTTCAACATAGTATAATTTTTTTCAGACAGTGTAAGTAAGAGCATGAAATGATTATGTATTTGAACAAATTTTTGTGATCTATAAGTTTTTGAAGATTTTGTTACATGCATTTAGATTTACAATTCTATTAATAATGTGCGTGTTATTAGAGTGTCATAAAACTCATAATTATTGTGTGTTCTGTCAATCACTTATTTTATTACCAATCTTTACTACAAGTACTGCATTTGAAGGAAAGCAATGCGTACATGTGTCTTTAAATGTATCATCACATTCTACGAGTCAATGGCATGAAAAGTTAAATTGATGCTTCTTTTTTGCATTTCTTTATTTGTTTTTAAAAAACTTCACATCTTGTTGTTTTTTTTTTTGGTTTTTTTTTTTTTTATTTCAACAAATTTCTTTGTTTGTCTACATAATTTCATTACATATTAATTACATAAATTATTCTGTAGGGTATTCTATTTGTGTACAAAGATTTGTTGAAATCAAAGCTAAACTGAAGGAAGAGTGTCATTAAAAAATTGCATGTAATTCTATATTTTGTGAATATTCAAGTTTACGTATATGAAAATTTCTTGTAGGATTTTTTAAAGGTAAAATAATGTGAAAGTCATAGTAAAAATATTTTGTGATAAACTATAGTTCAAACTTGATTTACTCTAGTTTAACTTAAGTGCTACTGTTTGCAACAGTAATTTTTAGTTAGGGAGAAGACCTATGAAGAATCCGGTATTATTGTCAATATCATACAATGTATTTGAGACACTATAAATGCATGTATCAAATGATTCTCATATTTCGTACATACAAAACAATTGCTCGTCTATTAATGATGAAAAATCCTGCAATGAAATTAAAGCATTTATGATGCCTTATCATAACCACTTGTGAAAAACCTTTAACTTATCATACCATTTCGTTTTATTAGAGGTTAAAAGTAAGTTTTTTATCCTTATCCGATGGAACTATGTATTTTATCATCATTTTTTTTTTTACAATTATTTATCATGAAAAATTATCTCCATGAACTAATGCTAATTTTTATTCTGATTGGGTAATTATTTTATCACTAAATGATTGCTACAATTTAATGCTGCAAGTCTGCTGAACTCAAATTTTTTTCTCTTAAAATTGCATAGGTTAAAGCATTGTAAAATCATTCATTTTCGTGGGGGCTTACCGTTTTCATTGTTTTCATGGTATGAAGTAGCTGCAGTTATGGTTTTATATATTAATATTGATGACCATAACGCACAGGCACTTGTTTCTGTGATAAATTTTTGACCTATAGTATAATAATAACGTGTTATCATTATACTATAGGTTTGAAATTTATTTCCGAAACAAGTGCTTGTGCCATATCGCTAAAAATGAGGTCAATATTTTCTTCGAATTGTTTGAAAGAATGTCTCTACTTTCAAGCTTTAGTCAATAAATCTGCCTTTCAATCCCTTAATCTAGATATATATTTTCACTATCTGTATTATTTTATTCACCTCCGTACCCTTTATAGTTGTTTCTACAGACCAATTTGCTGGTTTTATATTGGATGGTAGAAAATTCAAGTAAGTTTATTGGCCTGTAGACATGAATGTAAAGAGTTGGATAAAATACAGCTGCAATAATGTAGCCCTCTCAACTTTTTATATGATTTTTTGCCTCTTCCCTTATAAAAGATTAGACAAACTAGAAAACTGACCAGTCAGCAAGGGTCCTGCCATAGAGTAGAAATATAAGGTGCAGCTTATGGAATTCTTCATAAAAAATGTACTAAGAATAAGCAATAGCAACTGTATTCTTAAAATTTCAAGATAATTCATAAATATTCAAAAACCTGTAAATAATACCCTTGTATTTACATTACAGTAAAGAACAACTTAATATTGAATGTATATTTAAACAATAATAAAGCTTATGTTATATAAAATGCCTGCCTTCAATGAATGCAAATATCATGAAGACTTGACCTTAACTTCAACACAAACAGCAGTTGCAGACAAAGGTTTTCATTAATCTTAAAGTGACAGATAAAGATAAGCCTACTAAATTTTCTGCAGCAGGCTTAGATAATTAATCCCAAGGGATTAACTGTACCTCTCTCATCCTTTTCTTCTAAAGTTACTATAAGAACTTTTTCAGTATTTATAATGATAGAATGGGGTTTTTTTTATACAACTATCTTAAAAATTAATAATATTCTTGAATTTACATAAAGGGAAAAAAAGTAAAAATAAAAAAATATATCTTCTTTAATCTATTTCTTGTTTTTAGAATTCAATGAGATCATCACTATTTTAACAAAATAAAGTATGAACATTTATATTTAAATCCATATTTCAGAGTGTTCATAGCATTCTAAATTGACTTAACTTCAAAACAAACTTCACTTGCAGACAGAGGTGGTAATCCCATGGGACTCATAGCAGCATACAGTTTACAATGGGAACATCTTTAGCAGTTATCTCTCTTTGCCAATGCATTCTTATATAAAGTTAAGGAATCTACCCCACCACCCAGCTCCAAACCAAGGGTCATAGAGAAACAAACTAAGCATCAAAATATGTCTTTCTGCCTATTAAACTACCATACCAAATTGGGCAACCATTAAAAAAGTTATTAGGAAAAAACAGAAAATTTGAGGACGGAAGAGTGACAGAGACGGACAGACAGAGTGATTACTATAGGGCACTCGCAAATCCTTGCGGGGCCCTAAATACATGTATACAGAATAGTTTAAGAATACTCTAGAAATAGGGAGTGAAAGGTAGTTAATTGACCAATGCTGGAAAGTGAACAAATTCTCACCAACCATGCACTGGATGCCTGCCTCATAAATTGCACAATATTTGCATTATAGGAACTGTAGCATTATGGCCAAAGACTAAAATATAAAACCATAAGACTACAGTTCTGCCTCTAGGAATTTTCATCCCCACAAACTAATATATTTTCACAAAATCAGGAAATTTAAACCTCATCGAAATACATGTAAGTGTTTCTACAGTATACAACAAAACATGTACTAGAATATCTAAAGATCAGTCATTTTCAAGTTCATTTCCCAAATCCATAGTGATGCTCTTGTAATTTGAAGATTTGCGATCACATATATTTTTTCGTCTGTCCATCTGTTTTTCCCCTGAAAGTCTAACCTTGGTCATTGCTTTTGAGCAATTATTTTTGGGGGTTTTTAATGTATTTCTTGTAATATGACCTTTCCTTGGGTGTCATTTTACCTAGACCATAAATGTGAAGGGGGATGAGCAAAACCTTCAAATTTACCAGGTCTGTGAACCATCATCAATCAACTAAAATTAAGCCTTTGTACATTTGAAGATTTTTTCAAATTCTGGACTTATTTACAATTAAGGATTATTAATATATATGGCTGTTGTCACCTTTCAAATGTTTCTGCATAATTCTGCATAATCAAAATGGCTTTAAATATTTCTAAAAGTCATTGATCCCCTGGTTCTTAAAATTTTCTTTAATATTTAGTATACATGTAAATACACATATAAAACCATGCAGTAAAAATATCAAATAATAAATAAATCATCATACTTTAGGTAAATGCTCTTTTACCCAATTTTATAAATTAATTTTGTGTTTTCATGTCATATTTATTTGATTTACATAAAAAAAATTACTTTGTGACAATAATTGCAACCGTTTTTCATGAAAAAATCATGATGATATACATGAACCTTATAATGAATTGAACACATTGTCGAATTTTGCTTTGTATAAACAAATTTTATGTAATTAACATTTCAGAAGATGTTAACGAGCAAATACTTTCTAATCTGGAATTTCTCACACTTTCAGTATCCTTGTGGTCTCCTTTACAAACCGATATCTTCTTCAATATAATGGGTTTTTGAAAGTAAAAATTTATGGCCTCAAAAAGATATTTAACCACACTGTTCACTTCACTATACTACCTCTAGCAACAGTTCTAGACAGTACTTTATATAACCACATATTCTTTAATTTCTATTGTAAACATCATGAAATGAAGCCTTACTATCCATGACATTTTGCTGCTATAATTGGATTCCTCCAGTATTTCAGATCTACACCACAGAATTTGAGTCCAAGCTCACATTTCCTATTGATTCAAAGCTCACGTTTCCTATTGAGTTAAAGCTCACATTTCCTATTGAGTTAAAGCTCACATTTCCTGTAGATGGCATAGAATTGTTTACCTGAACAAATTTTTTCCTTTATAAAACTCCTGAGTTTATCAGATATCAAAAGTTTCAGCACAAATACTGTGACCATGTTCTTCGTACTGCTCCCTGGTGACGGCCATTTTCTTATACTCCTCAGTGTTAGCTAGCATTCTACCACCTTCCCACGCATAAGTCACAGGGCTGCAAAATAGGATGAGATTTTAATCAAGATTAAATGTTACCTATACTTTATTGGTAAGGAAAATTAAGATAAAGAACCTCCCTTGTTCTTTTTCAGACCAGCTATCATTAAAATACATATGAAATTTCAAAAATTTTGTTAATATAATAAGATATCTCTTACCTAGACAATGCTTGCATTAGTTGTGTTTTTTTAAGGTGTTGTTAGTATATATTTTTTTATTTCTCGTTTATTTTTTTTAAGGGGGGTCCAAAAAAGTAAAAATGTTGGATTAGCCTGTATCACTGTGCTTGTTCTTATATATACATGAATATTTGTAAATGAAAAGATTGAAAAACTTACTTGCTTGGCATTTTAGTTGAGATGTCATATTCTTCAGGGGCCATACTTCTTACATCAGCATAACTAACAAAACAAACATAAGTATGTAAAAAAGTTTGAATGCAAGGGGTTTCTTCGAACTGGACATTTGTGGATAATATAGATAAAATGGTTGTAGACTTTAAAATCACTTTCTGAGATCTGTTTTATATAAGATTACCATGGTATTCAAGATAATCATTCTAAATATCATAAGAATTAACTGTATTTTTTATCAATAAAGCTACGGTACTTCATGCATGAAAACATTGACAGATTTTCAAAACCTCTGGATAAAGTCATAATCCAAATGCACAAATTATTAAAGATATTCTCTTCCTTGACAAAAAGAAATATTTATACTAAATATTGCCATAGAATTGGATTTAGTTTTCTGCAGATTGTAAAATTTACGTTACATTTGCTGATATCGTGATACGAGATTACTGTATTCTACAAATAAATGACTTTAGTATTGAACATGTACTTGATGTGGGTCATATTTTGGCAGCTTTCCTACATCCTTTTGTGTGCCAAAGTTGGATTTTATGTAAAGTTTTGCATTATGATAGCATTAATTCATGATTGCACCAAATATAGTGCCAATCGTATGTGTGCATATGGAACGCCGTCACTGCCTTATAGCAGAACACTAATATTGTATTGTGTCAACCTTCCATTACATTATGTCAACTCTTTATGACATTAACCCACACTACCATTGCATTGTGTCAACCTTCCGTTACATGATGTCAACTCTTTATGACATTAACCCACACTACTATTGCATCGTGTCAACTTTGCATTATATGATCTCAACTCTTTATGACATTAACCCACACTACTATTGCATTGTGTCAACTTTGCATTACATGATGTCAACCCTTTATGACATTAACCCACACTACTATTCCATTGTGTCAACCTTCCGTTACATTATGTCAACTCTTTATGACATTAACCCACACTAATATTGCATTGTGTCAACCTTCTGTTACATGATGTCAACTCTTTATGACATTAACCCACACTACTATTGCATTGTGTCAACCTTGCATTACATGATGTCAACTCTTTATGATATTAACCCACACTACTATTGCATCGTGTTAACTTTCTTTTACATGATGTCAACTCTTTATGACATTTACACATAGTAACAATTATATTTCGTCAACTTGCATTTCGTTGTGTTTACTTTTCATGAGATCTTAGTTTTTATTAACTGATGTGAAAAGCTTATGCCATACTGTGCGCACTCTTCTACATTATGTCGATTCACTATTACGTTATGCGAACACGGGTATCCTCGGCCTTTATATGAGCATAGCGTTATTTCCGCGTTCCGCAAGCACAAAAAATGGCGGGAGAGAAAACTGTCTTAGAAGTGATTCTCAGCGATTTGGGAATGACATCTTTAAATGAAAACTGTAAGCGACAAATAATTGACAAACTTGAAACGGGCAAAGCCTTAACACTGCGACTGTGTATTAAAGTCACGTCTAAATTCTAGGTTGTTTACTTTAATCTCATAGTTAAATACTAGTAAATCAAATATTAGGAGTCGTGCAGCAATCATTTTTTTTCTTTTTATTTTGAATTTTTTTTTTAAATAAAAGTCTTAAACTTTGTAGGACATTGCATTAGTTTCACAATAAGCTTAGCGGAATCAAGTTGAAAACTTTTTTCTATGAAACTATAAAGCCTGAGAACTTCTCCGTTTTCCCTCTTGGTCTCCAACCATATACCGTCCCCCTTCCTTGTTCAAGATTCCCATATCCGCCACTGATATGTGCCCATGCATGCGTACTAAGGCATATTCAATTGATTTAGATGAGCGACTGGTAGACTTTTGTAATAGAATTCTGGCTCTGGAATGATTAAAAAAAATTACTAACTCCAATGACATAGCATCTTTTTTTGAAAGAGGCAGTCAGCCAGAAAAAAAAATCATTTACCCGAAAAAACTTGACAAGCCAAGAAAAAAAAATGTCCAAGCCCGGAAATCCTTTTTCGGGGAGAGGGGTCCAACTTCGGTCAGTCCTATTTTTTTCCAGACATATTACATTACCCTTAGTGGATTATACTTCAACAAAAAGTGGGAATGGGGGCTGTACTGTTTCAATGAACATTGCATTTTCTATAGTAAAGTTATGTCTGGGAAAAGAGGGGGGTTGATATTAATTGCCTGTAATTTGTCCTAATCAATCAGGACCCCCCCCCTTCTTACCAGTCATTAAAACACTGTCATCAACATTCATTATATACTAGATATACATGCACAGCTTTGAGATAATGTAAATGTTTTTTAACATCAGGTTATGAAATTTTGGAATCAACATGACAAAGAGTTAACACAATATAAAGATATTTTTAAATCACATAAGAAAGAGTTGACATAACGTAATTAAATATTCACATCACGGAATGGAGTTTTGACATAATGTAATAAAGTATTGATATAATATAAAGATATGTTCACATTATGTTATACACTTTTTACACCACGTAATAAAGCACTGACATAAAGGTAAGATGTGTTCACCTCACATCATGATGCTCTCGCCGTATAATAAAGATAAATCCATATCACGTAATAATGCTTTGATATAATAGATATATACACTCTAAAAAAAGGAATGGGCTTTTGACTTAATGTAATGATAAGTTTAATTATAAAACACAATTTACTTGACGTAATACAATTTCGACCTCACATATTAAAGAAATGAAATGATGTAAAGAAAAATTCATTTCACGCAATAAAGTTTTAACACAATGTAAACACATTATCACTTCACATAATGAATTTTTTACTTCAAGTTATGAAGTGCTGACATAATGAAAGAATGTATTTACTTCATGTAATGCAGCATTGTAGCAACCTCTAATGATAAAACGCCGCTTAATGATACAAATAGCATTAAGCGTTGCAATTGCAACGCTTAATGCCATAAATTATTGCATTAATAGCTGACATCATCAACCGCTAATGCTAAATCGCCGCTTAATGACAGAATCATATCATTAAGCGTCACAAATGCAGTGCAACACCGACGCTTAATGAAACAAGCAAATATCGACATATTCGACGCTTAATGATACACACTTGTGTATCATTAAGCGTTGCGGTTGCAACCCTTAATGAGTTAAAATTTAGAAATCACCTGTAATATCTAAGAGAAACACACATCCACCTTTCCTGAACAATGAGATATCACTTGTCAAAATATTTATATATGCCCTTGTGCTATATTAATGGTAAAAATAGAAGTTTTACTGTTTTCTATCTAGTCAAGGGAATGTCTTTAAGCCAGGGTTGATTAAGAGACAGACAGTCAGATAGCTGGAAGAAAGAGATACAAACAAAGGGATAAATAAAATGATATTCAAATCATTTTAAAAGAACCAATTTTACTGAAAATACAGAAGCAAACAAGCAATTAAATTCCTTTTAATTCGATACAATGATTTTAATACTCAACCCTTAAATATAAAGAATATATTTAAATATACCAAACTTTGTATTTTAGATTTGATACAGCTTAACACATGTCACTGTTAACGTTTCAGATATACATGTACGTATCGAGAAATAAATTTATTTTCACTATAATTGTATTTTTAATCTGCTTCGTTTCTTCAAATTTTTGAAAAGGAGAGACATCAATATTGACAATTTATGTTTAAGTATATAAAACACAAAGAATACAAATGAATGCAATATATTGAATAATATATCATTTTGAGAAAAAGGTACATTTATCCTTTATTTGTACTCAGTTTTACTTGAATACATTACTGTGGCATGATTATTTTAGAATCAATTTTGAAAACTAGTACATGTATAAAATTACCAAATTATAAAAAATTATGTCAAAAGAAGTTCACATACTTCATTTTGTAATATATTTGCCTGTCTGTCTGTAAACAATTTTTTAAAATGCTACTCCTCCTGCAGTTTTTGTCTGATTTCAATGTAACTTGGCACACAAATAGACTACACTAAGATTCTTAATTTCTGTATCGATTTTCGATTACTATGAACAGTGTTGCCTTAGTTACTAAAAATAGAAATAATATAATAAAATGCTACTTATACAACATGTTTTGCCTGATTTCAAAATAACGAAGCTCACATGTAGACTAAACTTTAAGATATCGTTTTTTGATTTCAATGAACAGTGTTGCCGTGGTTACTAAAATAAAATTTTTTTGGAAATACTTTCAATATGCTTATCCTCCTACAGTTTTAGTTAGATTGTAATATAATTTGGCATGCAAGTAGACTATACTAGCATACTCTATTCTCAGTTTCGTGTTTTTGAATTAGTTGATTGATGTTGCCATGGTAACTAAAATTGGAAATTCTGTAAAATTTTATTGAAAGCTATTGCTACAGTTGTAGTTTTATTGCAATCTTGCCACAAAAATAGACTTAATTAAGGACCGTCATTCTTTTTGTTGCTTTTGTTAAGTTTTAAGCCCCAACTGCTACTTTTTTCTTCCTTTATTATAAGTAAGTACAAACGAGTAGAGCTACAGTCTCGACATAATCAAAACATAACTACATCAAAGTTTCTAAGACTTTACTATTGTTGATTAAGTTCCAAAGTTTTCACTGTTGTTAATCAATGTTTCAAAGTTTTTACTATAGCAGATCAAAGTTCAAAGGTTTTCACTATAAATATTAAATTTAAGTTTCTAAATGTTTACTTTGGTACTTTAGGACTATAGTTTATTGTAGTATTTTTTAAAGGATATGTTCGTTTCTACGGTGGTATATTTAGGACAAGCAATAATTTTTTTTTGGAAATACTGGAAAAAAAATGTCTTGTGAAAAATGACATTATTATCTTGTAAAAACGACTTATTATCTTGGGAAAACGAGATATTATCTTGGGAAAACGACTTATTATCTTGGGAAAACGAGATATTATCTTGTGCAAAACGAGACATAAATATCTTGGGAAAACGACTTATTATCTTGTGAAAACGAGATATAATCTGATGAAAACGACTTATTATCTTGTGAAAATGAGATATTATCATGTGAAATGAGATAATATCTCGTTTTCACAAGATAATATCTCGTTTTCACAAGATAATATCTCGTTTTCATAAGATATTATCTCGTTTTCACAAGATAATATGTCGTTTTTCACAAGATATTATGTCGTTTTCACTAGATAATTTCTCGTTTTCACAAGGTAATTTCTTGTCTTCACAAGATAATATGTCGTTTTCACAAGATAATTTCTCGTTTTCACAAGATATTATGTCGTTTTCGCAAGATATTATGTCGTTTTCGCAAGATATTATGTCGTTTTCACAAGATAATTATGTCGTTTTTACAAGATAATTTTTCCCTTGGTATTTAAAAAACAAATAATTGCGTGTCCTAAATATACCACCGTACTTTTTTTACGCAAGCCGTGAAAAAAACTCTCTAAATTTCAGTTTGTCGTCCAATGTAATATCACCGACTTTCTCATTGAAATAAAACAAAAATCAGATCAAACTACACTGTAGTTAATTGAAGTTTTCAATTTAGGGAGAAGTAAAGAGACAAAGTATGTTTTTAAGCGTCGGGATGGGATGGGACGGGGGTAATTTACATTAATAAATATTTTATGTTGGTTAAGGTAGGATTCTTCTCACATTTCTTTTATTTAAAAATTAATGAAATTTTCACAGAATCTAGAGGACAATATCACTAAGTGATGGTATCAGTGAAATTTAATTCGACCATTTAATATTAGAGGCAAGGTCAGGTCAAGGACTTTACTTTTTTCCTGGACATTAAGGTCAGACGACACGTTCCTTAATAATATGTTTTGTATCTCTTGGAATAAGATAAGAAATATTCATATTTGGCATTCTCTTCTGATTTCAACATTGTTTTTTGAAATGTTTTTAAATATAGGACCACCAAAAATAGTGAGATAGGCCGTTCAGAAAGATTACCCATAAGGGTTATATAAGAAATATGAACCTTTGGTATCTTGTCCAAATGGCTGGTAAGGTACCCTTATTTTTTGCAAGGAATTTTGTTTAAGTACCTTTTCTTCAATGACAATCTCTTAGAAAATATATATATATTTTTGAGGAATGTGTCGTCTGACCTTAACATTAAACCAGAAGTCTCTGTCGAGACTGTAGCTCTACTGGTTTGTACTTATAACAAAGGATGAGAAAAAAAGCCATTGCCATCAGACCAAAACTGTAGAAGGAGTAGCGTTTTAAAGGAATTTCACAGAAAATTCTGTTTTAGTAACCATGGCAACACTGTTCATCGAAATCAAAAACCGGTGCATAATTTTATTTATCTTAGTGTAGTCTACTTGTGTGCCAGTTATATTCAAATCAGATCAAAACTGTAGGAGTAGCATTTTAAAGAAATTTCTCAGAAAATTCTATTTTAGTAACCATGGCAACACCGTGCATCGAAATCAAAAACCGATGCACTTTTTTATCTATCTTAGTGTAGTCTACTTGTGTGCCCAGTTTTATATAAATCAGACTACAACTGTAGGAGGAGTAGCGTTTAAAAAAATGTTTAAAGACAGACGGACAGCTAGACAGCTAAACGGACGGACAACGGACGCATTACTATTGCATAAGCTCTTCTGGCCCCGGGATCATGAAACATCATAGCTTAAGTCAAAAAATGTCTTAGATGCTGAACTTTTTTAGAGGTTAAGCAGCCCAAAATGAAAATGCTTTCCGATTTTGTATCATCAATCTGTGTCATATGCAAATTAAGAGTTTCCTTAAACAAGTTTTTAAGATTTTTAGATGATAGAATTTTTTACTTAAGTCTAGGTCTGTTTAATGATCCTGGAGCCTGGTCTCTGACCAGTAGAGCTAAAAATTACTGTTTCCAATAATGAGATCCCTACTTGTAGTTTAAAAGATTATTTTTTTTTATATTTCATAAAAAATACTATCATATGTGGCCTATAAGATGATATAACCAAATTGACATGGATAATTGAAATAAAATGGATATTTGATAATCCGAATTTCCTCCATTTTTGAAATTTTTTTAAAAGATTTATTAGTTATTTTTATATGCTTCCTACATATTAAGATTTTCCAATTTTCACATATAGTAAATTGTCACATAATGGTACAAAATGATACAAAAACTTATAGTTTTGATCGTTTACTAAGAGAAAAATAACACTTTTTACGGATTTTCTTGCTCAAATCTATACTTAGATTTGAATGTTATCGTTTAAAAGCAAACATAGTTCTAGTATGTGTGAAAAATCTTATTTATTTGATATATTTTGAATTTTTAGTCCCTTATTATTAATTTAACTTTATTCTGAAAATTTCGTTTAGTCTTTGATTGCGTAAAAATTATATCTAAATTCAATGTTCTATAATAATTTTGAGAGGCAGAAAAGAAGATTATTTTCATACGCCATCATTCCGCCAAAAATATAGTCCCTGCTAGTTTTCAAACGCAGTTTACCATTTCTATTTCAAGTTGTATTATTGTGATAAGGAGAGAAATATCTTTTAAACCTCTTGCATCTAAATATAAGACATATCAACAAATATGCTTTGAATATTGAAACCAGAGAAGAATCCTACTTAAGTTAAATATTTCTTTAATGTTTTGGGAAGATTAGGGACTTTTTATTCTCCATTTTTGGATGCCCTCCCCTTTACTTGGAAAATTTTGCCACAGACTTGCTTTATATGCAACCTACTTTTTTTATCATCTAAATTTCATTTGCTACCCAGGGTCTTAAAGTAACTATCTCCAATCAAAGAAATTGAAAGAATTGTTTTTTTTATAACGAAAAAAAAAATGAAAATTAAATAAATGTCATTGCAATAAGATCTCTAACTCATGCTTATTTTTGCCATTTAGACAGCACATAGAAAGACTTCTGTGTTTCTTTCTTTCCTTACATTTGTGCTACTTTATATGTATAGAATCAGATGAGCTAGTGACCAAGTGGAAGCAATTTAAAATCTAATTATGTAGCGCCAAGAATGCCATGCCTTAAATACCAAAAGTCAAGCATATCAAAGCATTGTACTTTATGTTTGAAATAATTAGAAAAAAATAATTTCTTATATTATTCAAAAGTGGTTAATTCTATTCCTAGCTAACTAGAAAGATTTCAGTCTGTCTCCACTGCAATTGTCAGTAAATAATGATCTGTTTCGGTATACATGTACCATTTATACTCGCCTATTAGTCGGTTCTGTTTTTAAGTCTGAAATTTAGACAGTTTTTTTCACTCACGGCTGACGTTAAATAGCGGAATATCCCTAACAAAAAAATACTATAGAAAACTATATAGTTTAATATAATTAACAAGAGAAGCAAAGCAAAAACTTTGGATCTTTGATTTGCTAAAGTGAAAACTTTGGAACGTCGCAAACCACGGTCAAAATGTACGATCCTTTCCCATTCTAGCCGTAGTTGCTATTTTGTAGCTCATTAAAGTATTAATTAACCAATGCAAGAAAAGCATAGTCGGGCCTTTCATGCGACCTTTTAATACCTATTCGCAGTTAGCGAAATACTTCTGATGAATACTAGCATTAATAGAGAGGGTATCTCTTGTACCGAAAAAAGAACTATAAATTTAAAGCTATTTAATTTTGATATTTGTCAGATGTAAACTTAATCTTATATATCGAAAGAAAAAAATACTACAAATGAAATATGCGTCATTTACAATTTAAAAATAAAAAAACCTCTTCAACCTCAGTCAGTATGTATATTGTAATTTGATACATACTAGAATTCAAAATTGATTCTAAAATAATCATGCAGTGATGCAACGGTGATGTATTCAAGTAACACTGCTCACAAATATAGCATAAATGGATCTTTTTTCTCAACACAATATATATTATTCTATGTATTACTTATATTCTTTGTTATATATCCTTAAACATAAGTTATTAATATTGATGTCTCTCTTTTTCGGAATTTGGAGAAACGAAGCAGATTAAAAATACTTTAGTGAAAATCTCGATACGTATATCTGAAACATTAACAGTGGTATGTGTTTAGCTGTATCAAATCTAAAATACAAAGTTTCGATAAAAATATTCAAATATGATTTATATATATATTTCAGTTTGACTATTCAAATCATTGTATCAAATTAAAAGGAAATTTTTGCTTGTTTGCTTCTGTATTTTCAGTAAAAAAATGGTTCTTTTAAAGGATTTGAATACCATTTTTATTTATCCCTTTGTTTGTATCTCTTTCTTCCAGCTATCTTTTAAACATCCGGGGCTTAAAGATGTTCCCTTGACTAGATAGAAAACACAGTAAAACTTCTATAATTACCATTAATATAGCACAAGGGCATATATAAATATTTTGACAAGTGATATCTCATTGTTCAGGAAAGGTGGATGTGTGTTTCTCTTAGATATTACAAGCGATTTCTAAATTTTATATCATTAAGGGTTGCAACTGCAACGCTTAATGATACACAAGTGTGTATCATTAAGCGTCGAATATGTCGATATTTGCTTGTTTCATTAAGCGTCGGTGTTGCACTGCATTTGTGACGCTTAATGATATAATTCTGGCATTAAGCGGCGATTTAGCATTAGCGGTTGATGATGTCAGCTATTAATGCAATAATTTATGGCATTAAGCGTTGCAATTGCAACGCTTAATGCTATTTGTATCATTAAGCGGCGTTTTATCATTAGAGGTTGCTACACAGCATTGACATGATGTTAAGATATATTTACATCATCTCATAAAAAATGGACATAACGTAAAGAAATGTTCACATCATGTAATTGTAAATTGACATAATAAATGCATAGTTGTATGCTATAAGGCAGTGATGGCGTTCCATATGTGCATCAAGCATCAAGCCATTTGATATTAAAAATTTTCCAAACTACACAAGGTACACGGTATGACATGGAATTTTTACATAAAAGTACATCTACTTACAATCTCTCAGAGAAGCCTGGTAGTAAACAGTTCCCACCAGTCAATACAATGTTAGAATACATATGAGGCCGCATCTCTGAAAAATAAAAAAAATCAATGAAAGAGAAATCAATCCTGCATTTTTTTTTTAAATCAGTTAAGAAGAAATCAGGCAAAAAAAAATTCTTGTTTCCTGCTACCAGTCAGAAAAAATAGTGTAGGGTAGGTAGGAAAATTATTTTATTTTTTCATTCTATTTTATTTTTTCAAACAGTATTTTTTGGATAAGAACTATTACAAAAATTAAACATGTCATAGCTAGATAGATATAATCTTTTAAAATGAATTTCCATGTCTTTTGATGCACAACTCAAGTGGAATTGTATGAAAGTCCATGTTTTAAATATATATTTCTTTCACTTTTGGAACATGAAATTCCTGCAGTTTCGAATTTTTTCCCCAAAAGCTAAAAAAAACCTTTAGAGTCGGGTGCACAAAAATAGGGTAGGTCGGGTAGCAGAAAAGACTTTTTTTTGCCTCAACTAAAATTTCTCCAATTTATTCTGGTGTTTCTTTTACAAAGTACAAGTACACTGAAATGAAAATATTGTATGTTTACTTCAAAAAGAAGGCTTCATATTTTAGCAGCTTTGTACAGTATATGAAAATTTATATTGAAGTTTCACCTTTCAAATACATGTACATGAATTTGCTTCACCAGAATACTGCATATAGTGCAATTAGAGTGCATAGTGATGTTTTAAGTGACATGGTCCATAACCTTGAACATAATTTGATACAAATGAAACCAAATTTTCTTTCCTTTAATATGGAAGTAATTGATTTAGCTCCCAGACTTTGATTATCCCAGTATAGCTGAAAATTTACAGAACCATTTTAGAGTTATTGTAGAATATAACTGACCTTCAGGCAGAGTGCTGATGGCGTACACTAGGGCCTCAGCCACCCCCATCTCCTGCACCCCTACATCTGACGGGTGAAACAGCAGCTCTGGTATGGCAAACCTCTCATTGTTCATACGAATTATCTACAAAGAAGACAATATAGCCCCTTAAAGGTAATGCAGACAAACTGGATTTCCAAGTCTTTCTAATTGCAAATGTTTGACCCTGTATATTACTGACCTGCTCTCCGTCTTTGGCCCTCCCCGTGGTCTCCTCCTGGGGTCGGACGTACCCCCTCTTGATGTGGGTGTAGTCAGGCAGGACATAGTCCCGGGCTATCATGTTCTCTTTACCTCTCTTTCTGTTTGAATTATAATTCAGATATCAAGCAGACATGTTTATCATAGGTGTATTTGGATTATACTGTGGAGTCATATGATATGGTTTCCATATCAACAGTTGTGGTCTCAATGGTTTTTGCATGAAATTGATAGAGTCAGAAAGTGGATTTATGTTGTAAAAACAGTATGAAATTTTTGATAGCTTTTAGTAAAATAAAGGTAAACTCCCTTGGTTTGTGTGGATGGATAAATTTTTATCCAACTGATTTTGTGTATTTTCTTACCCTTCATCAAGGCTCAGTGATGGCAAACACATTCTCACAGTCCCATTGGATAAAAATAATATCCAGACATAAACCATTGGAGATCCTATATCTACCACATATTCTTGTTTGCTTGAAATGATAATAGGGATGTGCGATTTTATCGGTATACCGGTATATCGCGATTTTTTGTTGCGTGATACGTATCGTGATACGGAGACCTAAATACCGGTATTTAAGTACATATTATAAAGTCCAGGAATTATTCATTTATTTGTTTAATCTTTTCAAATTACAATTACAGAAAGTATAAAAATGTTGTAAAACGTGAAAAGAACGGCATCTTATCGTCCAAACATAATTGATTTTATATACATAAATATTTCAAGAAAATGAAATTTTGTTTTTCAAGCAAATTTTTTAGAAAAATAATGACTTTTCATATAAAATCATTGTAAAAACTGCTTTTAAGAATATCATGATTTTATCGTGATATTGTGGGAAAAAATCGTGATATATCGCGATACGAAATTTTTGGCGATACCCATCCCTAAATGATAATCTTTTAAAATAAGTTTTAGCAAAATATCTTTGATTTTACTAATTTTCCATGCAAAAATGTAAAGTTGTTCCTCTTGACACAACCAAAGTTATAATTCTGATGTTCAAAATAAGTAAAATGCTTCCAACTAAGTATGGCTCCTATATTTGATTTCACACCAACTCCAATATCTTCGATAAAAGATGACACTGCATCCTTACAGTACAACTTACTTGGCAGTTTCCATATCTTTCATGAATTGAGTAGATACATAACACACATCTTCCTTCACTTGATTTATCACATATGTTTCATCCATTACCATCAACTGTCTAAAAATGATATAAAGTATTGTCAAAGATATTCTGAAGGCAACATATAAGATATTTAAATTGTACACAGAATTTTTACAAAACACTTCAATTTTTAAAAAGTTTGTTTACTACATAGACATTGCATCACATCAATAAGTTCTCAGCTTTCAAGTTGTAGTGGTGCCAGCTAGATTTTATTTTGAAAAGACTATATCTTTAACCTTTATCAAGATATGGTTCACAGTTAAAAAGTCAATCAACAAAAAATCAAATGAAAAAGATGATGTGTTCCTTATTAACTGATATTGATGTCATTAAAATAAATGCTTTGAAGGTGTAAATGCTTTTATTTCTTTAAATTTTCAACTGCTTATTTTCATTGAAGTCTTATTAAAATCTTATCCTAAAATAAGTTTTGCTAACCAGGTTAGCAATTTTGTTTACCAATGGTGCATGAGCTACTTACAAGCTAATGTTATCTTCAAAGTCCTCTGCTGCCATGCAAAGGGCAATCACTCCATTTCATTTTTTTTAAATTGATGTATTAATGTGGGATTTCTTTCAAAATTACATTCATTTTTTGAAATACATACCTATATGATATAACTTCTTTCAGATGATTAGTTAGCAATTTGCCACCAACATTTACTCTGCAAAGTGAAACACAGCATAATTTTATTTCAACCTTTACAATTCATGTTGCACATTCAATTTTCAAAGGAAAATTACATAAATTATAGATTGTATTTATATACCTTTTGACTGCCCCTGTGATTTTCTTGCCCTTGAAGTATGGGACAATATGAGAGAAGGAATACCCTGTGTCCAGGACTATATTACATAGAGGAGGGGCATTTGATTCCTTGGAGTACTTATACTGACTCAGGAAGGAGGCTGTAAAAACAAGAATAATGGGTTAAGTAGGTGGTTAAGAAGGAATCCAAAGCCATAGTTTGTTATTTTTTTTAAATATTTCATATTTCATATCTATCTTAAATGTAAGATATGACAGAAAACTTGCATACTGAGAGAGGAAGGGGAGAGAATATGTTTCGAAGTGTTATTTAATCTTTTTCTAAATAAAAGGGATGTTCAATTTTAGTCAAATCTCAACTATTATCATAACTATAAAATTTTCTTTAAATATGTTTTTTATGAATGATTTGCAATTTAAAAAGAACTTACGATTAGTTTTTAACACAGACTTAAAGGCATATTCTTCAAAGAAGATTTCATTCATAGCCTCTTGTACTGAATTGAAGTTGAAATAAGGTTCTGTGACAATGATGTTGGTTTCATTGAAATCCACCTGAAATTGAATTATTTTGAAAGTATGCTGTAACATAAGATGCATATGAAACTTGTAACAATAACCCCCCGGTAAAATGTTATTCGCACATTTTATATCAATTTACCTTCATCACATCTTTGCCAAAGAGGTAGTCCCACACTTGCCTTTCTATGTCCCAGTTTACTAAGTAACCCTGTGAAAAAAATCTCAGTCTGTTGAGTCTAATATTAAGTTATTTGCAGAATAATTTAAATATTGATATTACATACACCATCAAGAAACTGGAATAGACTAACTTGCCTTTTCTTTTT